GAATAAGAAGAAGAGACAAACGGAAGAAACATAAATGAAGGGCAGTTTATCCCAACCAAGACAAGAGGAAAGACTTGTGCTCCAGCCATCCATAGTAACGTGACCACATTAGTACCTCCAAAAGCAACCAAGCACGATAGCCATCCACCAGCAGATAAACAGACGGCCAGACAGCCAATGAAATGAAAACAATGCATCATCGAAGAAACCAACTGTATCATTCCAACTCCTTTAAAATTCCAGTATGAGAGGGGCGATCTTCCTAAAAAACGACCGAGTCGGGTCCGTAGATGATGAGGATGAAACAGAACGAGCCGGTTCGCGCGAACCCGTCGTAACTTTTGGATTAAAGAGGTAGACGTAGGGTATGGTAGGTAGGTAGGTAGGCAAAATGATATTTCATCTTCCTAACAGCGCGCGTCGATCGTCCAACAGCGAAAGAGGTTTTTGATGATAGGTAGGTAGTGTAAAAGCTTCGACGGCTTTGCATCCTCACCGTGCTCACAATGTCTATCCCCAGCATCCTCCTCCTCATCTTCCTCCTCCTCCTACCCTACCGCTCTGTGAAGAACACCCCTTTTCGCTTCCATCCAACTAAATCCGTTTCTAACGTCACCCTGCCGCAGAGTCCAGTCCACCCAGTCATAAGTTTAGACCTGCCGCCGTGGGGGCTCTTAGGTCATGTAAGGGAGAGAACTCGGCGCTGCGGGCACAAGAGTGGTCGCCACTATCCCGTACTACTGGGAATAGTAGATCATGGGCTGCTGATAATAGAACGTGTCGGGACTCGGCGTCATCATACCGCCCATGCCCACCATGCCGGGGGCATAGGGTTGGCCAGGCGGGAAGTGTGAGTAGCCGGGCATTTGGGGGACCTGAGAATAATAGTCGTAGTATACCGTGCCTTGGGACTCGCGGGGTTCCACTAGGTTCTGAGAAGGCGTGCCTTGCGCAGGGGGCTGCGCAGCCGGTACATCGCCTTGGGCCGGCTGCGTGTAAGGGACCGGCTGCGGCTGCTGCTGGTGTGCCGCCGGGACGAAGGTGGGAGCGTTTGCGTTGGGGCCCATGTTGGGGCCCATGTTGGGGCCATATGTCTGGGGATAATAGAAACCCTGCTGTGGTTGCATCGTCGAGTATTGCTGACCGTAAAAGCCGGGCTGGGCATACGAGTTGGGCTGGAAAGGAGCCGCATGGACGGCACGCTCCGGGATCTGTGACAGGGGTGTGGCAGACGAGAACTGAGATTGGTAGGATAGATTCCGCGCGTGCGAGTCCTGGGCAAAGCCGCTGGACACCTGCGGCGGAACTTGTTGATGGAAGGCCTGTTGATACGGAGCCGGAGCGTTTGCCGTCTGCTGAACGGGTGACTCGATGTTCTCAACGGAGACAGTCTTTTGCGGGCGTGGTTGGTGCATAGGAATGGCGTTTTGTCTGTTCTCTTGGAAAGTAGGTTTTTGCGGGAGAGGGTGCGTTTGTGGCTGTGGAAGCTCGCTAATAGACGTTTCCGGCGCCTTTTGAAGAGCATCCGGCTTGGGCGGGATAGGCATCGGCCCAACTGGTGGTTGAGCCAGCGGGGGAAGTCGGACGACGGGCCTTGTAGTATCGACCGGGATCGGGGGCCGTGAGATGGCGGACCCCGTTGGTGAGAGCATGAACTCCCTGCCAAGATCGGGGGCAATCGACGACCGGCGGCTGAGGGCGATGCTGGGCGAGTAGATGCTCCCGTAAACGCTACCGCCCCAAACGCTCGTTCCGCGCGAGAATACCCCTGACCCTAGTATCGACCGTGGACCTTTACCCCTCGTCCGTTGCTGATTCGGCCGCATCGCCCGCGGGATAAAGATAAAGGACCTGTCGCTGGCCGGGAAGATATAGCGGGGCATGAGCGGGGGATCGTGGTAGGGGAGAGAGATCCGAACAGGTTTATCGCGGCGAAGGGGCGGGCGGTGATCGGGAAGCTTCGTGTACTGTTTCAGCGCAACGCCGGGGAACAGCTTGGGTGCAGTCATGGGCGGCAGAAACACCCTGATTGTCGCGTTGCCGATGTGCTTTTCGGTCGACATGGCTCGATTAATCGGCGTCTTGCTTGTCGGCGCGGTGGAGATGACGCCGTTGCCGTTGGGCGGGCCCTCATTATTGGGAAGGTAACGGGTCTGCCGAGGCGGTTGCGGCTCAGCGACTACCTCGTGCATGTCATGTTTCCATACCCCGTTCGCTATCGGGTCCGGAAGATTCGGGATCTGGCTGGAAGCAATTGTTAGCTTCGAAGAAGAGAGATTCGGCCAAGGGGAGGAACCAGTAGTTCCAGCATACCTGAGCGGGGCGAAGGGGCTCCCGAACGCGCCTCGTCCCCGACCACGAGCCCCCCGCGGGAACGGCCGGAAGCCATTAGCAGCGGGACCAGCATGCCGATGATCATGCAAGAAGAAAGCGCCCCTGTTGGGAACGAAGGTTGGGTCTTCGTCCCTCCTCCGCCTGTACTCCTCGTGCTCCCGCCTCTTGAAGTCCTGTGGGGGCAACCGTGGTTGTTGCTGAGTAGCAGCGCTCGAGCTCACGACAATCGGGGCCGCGTCCTTAGCAGGCGGCACTTGTTTGACGTCGTCGAAGTGCAACTCCTCCGGCCTGTTTTCCTTGTCGGCAAGCGACAACTTGCTCAGCATGGTTTCGGCATCAGCTATTATGGGCTGCACTGGCTTTGCTGCCGGACTCTTGATGGGCTCGGAACCAGTCCGACGGCGGAACCCACTCTTCGCATGGCCGTTGCCTATGGGTTTCCTGGCATTCGGCGACGTGGGCGACACATCGTCGATGTTGCTTGTATCGCTATCGTCGGCCGGGTCGTGTTCGTCGCTCGCGATGGAGCCATCCGTCACGGAGTCATCCTCCAAGTCGGCCAAAGACTCGACGACAACTTCATCGTCCCCCTCATCCTCGACGCGGCGTCGTTGGCCGATGATCTTCCTGCGTCTTGTTCCCGCTGCTGCCATTGTGCTAGATTGTGGAGGCGGGGCCGGCTCAGCGTTGAGTCGGCAGGGCGATGAACCAGCTGCACCTTGGTGTGGAGGTGCACAGAGTCGCGATGACGTCGAGCCGCCGGTCATGCGTAGGTGGTGGTTCGACGACTCTTGTCTCTTGCTCCCGCAGCGAATGTCTAGAGATGCGTGCGGCTGCAACCGTCCTGTGGGCGATATTAAGTTAAAGCCGATGGTGGAAGCCGGCCACGGTGTGCACGTCAGGAACCGGGGAAACAGCGATTGCGAATTCCAGGTCAAGGAAGAAAATGTAAGCTCGACGGGATCAGCCAAGTGCGAAAGTGGCAGCTTCAGTCCGAGTGGGAACTCTGCGGTGGGTGTTGCTGCCAGCTGGAACGAGCCTAGAAAACTCCAGACAAGGTTCAGGCCTGCCAGACCGACCGTGCTCCAGCTGCAGCAGGAATCAACCCGGAGGTGGCCAAAGGCAAAAACGGAGCTAACGGAGGCGGAATGAGGGGCTCCTCTAGCGCTGCTTGGAGGAACCGCTCTGGAAAAGTTGTGAATTGGGCGGCCGTCGCGAGGGAAGGACCAGAATCTATCGACGAGGCTGCGAGATAGTGATAGATTAGCGTTGTCCTGTTTCCCCAAGTCTCATGAGATGGGGTTGAATTGAGAGGGCCGCTGCTACCATGGTGCGGTTCAAGAGCACAGTGGGAATAAGCAGCATCAATCCGCTTTTGGTTAGCCCAATTACCGTCATGTCCCCATCATCCGCGCATTCAGCGGGGCGCGACGTGATTTTCCTTGATCAACCCCATCAATCGCTGTATTTTCCTTCTGATACCGGTACTGCGCTACGTATCATATACATTTTACCTACCATACTCTATCTGATACAGAGTCGTTGGTTGACAGTTTCCTTGCATTCCAGCCGTCTGGTTTGAGAAGGCTTTGCGCAGGTGCAACCCCCACGGAGCCAACAGGAGTCGCATGTGGTATCCTCTGGACGTCGCGCCCGCCACGCATCCAGCAACCAGAGGAGCCGGAACAAGTGCGATGATTCACAGGACACGGCTGCCTGGCAGGCCAACAGAGCCAGCTCTCTCTTTTACCGGAGCATCATGTCGCGTTTAACAGCGCGTCAGGCCGTGTCGGCCATCAATAGGCTTCGGTCAGACAACCGCCAATCGTGACAGTGGCATCCGCAAAGTGCGCTCGCCACCTCCAGAAACATGAGATGAATAGGCATTCCCTGCGAGTGCATGGACCTGAGGTCGTTCATTAGGCAGCTGTTCCCCGCGGCCAAAGCTGGGAGGGGGTTAGCTTCTGAGATCATGCGAGGGTCGACCATGTCGTCCCAGAGGTCATGACGAGCAGCATCCGATGATGGCACTCCTCCGCATGGGCCATCAAGACCTGCATACGACTCATCGGCAGGTCGAAACAGCCTGTATTGCCTTCCACACCAGGAGATTGTGGGAGCATTCCGTAATCTTGGTTTCAGTTTCTCCCAGCGTGAGACTCCGATTGGCGTTCCGTGTCCCAGACCGCGAGTTGTCTGTTGCCTCGCGAAAACGGACGTTCGACAGGTTCACAGCTTCAGAAGACTCTTTGTCTTCACCGGCTTTGATATTCGGGAGTGAGATATCTGCCGGCGTAGGCAATACCGGCAGCGCGGTTCTTCCCGGAGGGGAGCGGCCCTTGGTTATTGAGCGGCAAGCGTGTGAAGTCCTGGCCTCTGTCCCGCTTCTACTCCTAATGCAGTGTTAAGATACGGTCCACTTTTGCGTCAACAATCGCATCAGGTACACAGTATATCCTCAGTTCACAGACAGAAACTTTGGTCGGCACCTCGTGTCATCTTGACAAGCTCCAGATCGATATCCCTGCATACCTAACCATACCTTAGTTTAAATTCAAGTGGAGAAGCATCTAAAGATCAGCCCTCTCCAACTCTCAGTCACAGCCCTACTACTGGACTGTAGCATATAGATTCTCACTCATTTTGGACGCATATGCAATGAAAATGGCAAGGTGGCCGAGCGGTCCAAGGCGCCAGGTTCAGGTCCACCTGAATTCGTTAAATCCACGAGATTTCCTGGTCTCAGAAATGGGGCGTGAGTTCGAATCTCACCCTTGTCACGATATCTTTTGCTCAGCTTAGTGGCTAAGGTGGCTCTGTCTAGCCAAATATATATAAGCTGGACTCACAGCTCGGACAGCTCGGGAGACAGAACGATCTGCTTCTTCCTTTTCGTCTTCCTTTTCTTCTTCCTTTCTTCTTCCTTTTCTTCTTCCTCTATAGTTTTCTTTCCTCTTGTTCTCTCCTATTTTTATTTAACGTTAATTCTATTTGCTTTACTTGTTATTTCAACTAAGGTATCACGGTAATAAGCTTGGTATACAGCTTTTTTTTACTTTGGGGTAGGTGGCTCCAATTCTCATCTCTCTCGTGTGACTTCACTGATTTACAACAGCATTTTCTCTCTTGAACTGGAACACCCACGGAAAAAGCAGCAGGTGAAAAGAGTCATTCAATCTTGATCAGCGTTGCATAGACATGAGTGTGTGTATACATATCGTTCTCTAGACTGTTTCGTAAACTCGAGCGGATCCTTACACCTTACGGCTACACCTAGTTGGAACTTCATCGTTGTTGAATGCCTATGAAGCATCTCTTTTAAGCACCAGTCACCCAACCTATAACTATATACCGTAGATTCCTGTTAGTAAACAGCCTGGACGGCACTGGAGCTGATCCAGAGCTCTCACTTAGCTGCCAAATGTGAGCGTGAGTACGATTTGACCCCGAATAGGAAAGAACTCAAATGGCATACTATAGCTTTTAATGATGCTCACCGCTATGAGCAGCCAGCATCAGCTCACCTGTCTCAACCCCCTCTGATGAATACAAGACAACCCGGAGACAAAACATTTGAGCGAAGTATTATTAGGTCAGGCAGCTCGCAGTAGCCTTTTTACAACACAGCGCTTAGATGCCCCAAATCTGCAGGCACCTGCGCAACGACGATGTCCTTTCCGTAAATTCCATGGCCGCGGTCCTTACCTATATAGCAGCCAGCCAGCCATTCACTGAGGGCATCTTTTAGCTCCTGTAGCCAGGCCTCGGCCGTGTTCCTCAATCGTACAAACAAGGACCGTCTTCCCCAGCCCCCAGATAGGTAGCGTAGTTACAAAAGAGAATCCCAGAGCCCAGTGTGGTCCTTTAAATCACCCGGCTTTGAGCTGCATCTGCAGTTCGTTCTTTGTACATCAACATGCTCCGGCAGACTCGGCGGCCGGACGGGCAGCCCGGCTGACTGTTTCCAAATCTTTTAACGGAGTGGGGTCATTGTGTGGGGTAAATGGCGCTTTATCGCATCATGCCCTGGCCCATGCCCTGCAGCTTGCTGGCCAGCTTCGGGTACTTCTCCTGGACCTGGATCTGGGTTCTTGTCGCCTCGGCGTACGAGAGAGCATTGACGAGTTCACCCTCGGTCCGGGCGAGTTCAGCCGCCCGCTCAAAATACTTGAGCGCCTCCGTTACCTTGCCTTGCTGGAGGAGGAGCTGGGCCATGGTAGCGACGGCAATGTCACACTCGGGGTCGACTGAAATCACGGGTTAGCGGGACGTCCAAAGTGTCTTCTCGGAGTGGCTGGGCTTACTGATAAGGGCCTTCTCGCACAGCTTCTCGGCCTCTGAGAAATCCTGCTTCCACTGGAACAGGGCAAGAGACTTGTTGATGAGCGGCAGCACGTTCATGCACGTGGGCTTGGTCTCCTTCTCGAGCTCGATGGCTGTGTCGAATTTCTCAATGGCCTCCTGGTACTTGGTCTGGTCGAGGAGCAGCTCGCCATAGTAGTTGTACACATCCGGCGTCTTGTCGAAGTTCTTCATGCACCGCCGGAAGGTGGCCATAGACGAGGCGATGGAACCCATCTTATACTGGGTCACGCCGAGCTGGATGTGGGAGAAGATGAAGTCGCGGTCCAAGTCAATCGACTTCTGGTAGTCCTTTTGCGCCTCAGCGAATTCGCCCTTGATGAAATGCAGTTGAGCACGGTGGTAGTAAATATCGGGATCCTCGGCGTTCTTGGCCAAGGCGGCTGTGAAGTCCTCCTCTGCTTTATCCGGGTGACCTGTACAGGGGTTAGTCACGAAGGCACCACGAGATACAGGTGGGTCAGTCATACCAAGCTCCAGATTCATACTCGCCCGCTTGATGTAGCTCTGCGTCATCTCGGGATCCAGCTCGATGCTCTTCGAGAGATCTGCCAGGGCCTCCTCGTGCTTGCCCTTGAGGCAACGGAACGTACCACGAAGGTTGTACGCGTACGCCTCATGCTCTCCGAGGTCTCCTAGCTCCAAAGCCTTGTCGAAAGCCTCGGCAGCCTCCTCGTAACCCGGGCCGGTCTTGCTCTCCAGTGCCTTCAGACCTTTCTGAAGTTGGCCCTTTCCGGTTTCCTCCGACAACTCCACCGAGTCCTCCAAGCCGGCAGGGCGGGGCTTGGCTCTGAAGCTCTGGAGGTAGTTCCCAACAAATGTAGAGCTCGGGAGCTTCGCTGGCTTGGTCTGCAGAATGTCCTTCGCTTTCGACTCGGCCAACTTCTTAAGCAGCCGCTCCACTGCTTGCGCGCTCTGTTCGTTCCTAAAGCCGTCGATAATGCAGCTCGCAGTGAAGTCGAGAAGAGCCTCGCTGTACTTGCCGAGGTGATCGTAGGCATTGGCGCGGCGATTGAGAGCCTTAATGTACTCAGGGTCGAGGCTGATGGCCGCTGTGGTGTCCTCGACGACCTTCTCCCATTGACTGAGAGCATTGTAGCAGGCAGCACGGTTGGAGTAGTAGACAGGGTCGGGCTTGCAGAGAATAGCCTTGGAGTAGAGCCCGATGGCTTTCTCGAAGTCCTTCGCATTGTATGCCTTGTTCCCGGCCTCTTTCAGCTTCTGGGCGTACTCCTTGCGCTCGAGCTCCGAAAGCCGCTGGACCGTGGTCTCGTCGATCTCGGGCAGCTCGTCGGCCGTCTCAACAGTGGCAGCCTTGGCCGCAGAAGCAGCAGCCTCAGCCTGCTTTGCCGACGCTGCTGCTTTCTCGGCCTCCGCTTCCCTCTCAGCTTGCTTCCGTTTTCGCCTCTCCTTCTTGCTTGGCCTGGGTGCTGTGTCCTTGGGTTCCTGCGGGGCCGCGTTCGAATGTCAGTACGAGATAACCAGATCCGACAAGAGCTGGGCAGGTGCTCGGGAAATGCTGACTCACGCTGCTGCGGATGTAGTAAACAGCACCGGCGGTGGTGACAACAACAGCCACGCCGGCAATGGTGTAGACGACTGCCTTGTGCTCCGAGACCCATGTCGAGATGCGATCCCACAGCGACGAATCGGGCGGTAATGGTGCTGAAGGTGTCCCCGTGGGGGCTGCAGGAATGGTGGCAGCCATCGTCGTTGATAGCGCAAGATCAAAGGGAACTTCAGAGGAAACGGACAGCTCGGTGGAAGAACCCTGCTGTGGAATTACCGAAGGAACGGGGAGATGCTGTGGACCGACGTGGTGTCTCGTCGATTTGATGATGCATGTGCATTGAAGCTGGTCGCCTGCGGGCAGTTCGGCCGAAGCTTGGAACAAAAAAATCAGCGGACTGACGCGCCCAATTGCAGCGCCTCGGTGGACCTTCGTGCTGTTTCCCGGAAGTATCCGCTTGCCGCAGCCCGCAAGGCTTGGAACCCTGTCAAACGCCAAGAAACCCGCCTACCTACATACCTAGTAGGTAAGCTTTCAAGATGGGTCCTGCAGGGAGCTTTTGATAACGCAGGTGAACATACATCCGCGACACTTGCAGACTACCGGCTTATATGCCACCAAAACGCTCTGTTCTCGAATCCTGAACTCGCAGCCGGTAACCCCCACGTAGACCGCATCTAGTGTCGCTCATTTGCGTCCTTGAAGCAGCCGCGAGCGTCGCAAAATGGAGGATGACTTCCAGTTGTTCTCTTCTCTTCGCTATGACCCGGCGCTGCTGCAAGTGCCAGCCAGCAATCTAAGCCATGCTGGGTGGAATTGGGATAACTCGTCACCTTTCTACATGCTTGATTACCACCGGGACCGTATGCTACTAGCAGCCACTCACTGGGGTTGGAATGCCGCCGTTGAGGTCCTCCAGGGAAGCGCCGGTCTGAAAAGGCTAGCAGATTTCATCATGAGCAGCATTGGGGACAATCAGCAATCCGCAATAAGAGTGAGGGTGACTATCACAAGAGAAGGCGAATTGAGCGTAACTTCGGGCCCGGTTCCCGAAACACCCCTCGCCAATCTCTTCCCGGAACAACTTCCGCTGCCTGAGGGAACAGACAACAATGGACTGAGCGGACATATTCCGACCAAGACTCCAGAATACCAGGTCTTGGTGGATGACCTTGGGGCAGCCTGGACAAAGCACAGCCACTTCAAGACGACGAAGCGAGCGGTGTATGATGTGGCTAGGCAACGGGCGCAGATCAGTCTTCACGACAAGAAAGAGGTTCTGATCATCAACGAGGCGGATGGCACTGTCATGGAAGGTTCCGCGACCACTCCCTACTTCTGGAGGGAGGGCAAGTGGGTCACTCCCGCTGTGAGCATGAAGCAGGACTTGGAGAAGGGGATTGGCGGCCAGAACGGTACATCGAGAAGATGGGCGCTCGAGAGGTGCGTCATCAGCTCTTCTCCGGTCAAGTTCGGGATCCATCGCTAACAGAGCACAGGGGCCTCGCCGTTGAAGATACCGTCCTGGCAAGCTCGCTGAGGGATGGTGAGGAGTGCTGGTTGAGCAATGGTGTGAGGGGGTTCATCTTTGGGAAAGTAAGGCTCGCGTGACACATTCTTTGGCACCGAGAGGCTTTTGCCGAGGCAAGTGCTCAACTGGGCGGAGAGGCTCAGCTCCCAGGAAGATGTCACACAGACTCCTTTTCCTGCACAGGACTGGTAGTCTCCGTTGTTCTTCCCAACGGGCCGAGAGACGATCCGGATTATAGTGCAGGTCGTGACGACCGCAGTCAGCTCTCACCAGGTGCCGGCACTTCCCGATGCAGGATATGATGCGAAAACACCACAGTTCAGCTCTCAACTTGGGTGTACAGAGCAAGGAACAATGGTTCGACATCAGCGGTCAAA